GCATAAGCCAACCTAAAGGCTTCATTAAGCAAAAAGCAATCCCTTCTGTGTACTTGAGGTGAGTGCTGCAGGAAGAGGCAGAGGAGTTAAAAGAAGGCGTCTTGTTTCAAGGAGTGGCTAGATGGGGAAGATGATGTCTGTTTTGCCTGGACAGGCTCAGGACCTTATTCTGCAGCCTTGTCTGCAGGCAGCCTGCCCATCAAAATTATCTCCGGTGCTGAGTGCAGAGGGGATGAGCCAACAGCTTATTAAATAGGAGTCTGTTATTTCTGCTGAGAAAGGTGGCTTTTATTTTCCTGAAGGGTTATTAACTGAATTCTTCTCTTGTCCTAACTCTGGTTGTTTTCCTCTGCTTTTTCCAGACAGTTCTCCTTGGTTCTTCAGTGGAGGCAATAACTTGGAGGTATTTACTGGTAGTCCTGTTAAATTTGGGGTGGAGGAATAACAAATACTTTGGAAATAGGATTTCTTTGGGAGACACAATGACCAGAGCCTGACTTTGGGACACACTTGGCTCTGCAGTTCAGCAACTGCTCATTTCAGATGGAGTGTTGAAATCTTCACAGCACCTTGGACTGCTACCTGCACAAACAGTCCCATGACTGGAGTGGGACCCCAGAGATGTGTAAATGTTGGCCTCACCTCAGCGTGTTCTGGTACCAGCTGCTGGCTGGGGAGGGCAGCACAGATTGTGGTGGGCAAGAGTCTTGAAGGACTCCTCTGCTTCCTCACTGTCTCTGATGGGGCCATGGTTTTCTGCTGCTTGGCCCAAGAGCAGCATAGATGGCCTGTTTGCCTTGTCCCAGAGCTGCCAGCATGGGTGACAAGAGCCAGTGTAAAAGCCACGTGCTGGCAATTGTTGCAGGACCCATTGGTTCAAAGCGTCATTTTTTAGTAGACAGTGAACAGGGAATTATTTCTTTTTTCTTTTTTTAATTAGAGGTTTCTCAGGAAGAACTGACTCTCAAAGGCAGGGTAATAATTTACATGTCAATTCGAAACTTGAGAAAACAAGACATATTTGAGAAAAAGTGGAGACTACTGGTTACAATGAGTTAAGATACCACACTACTTTGCTCAGTAACCTTGAATCCGCTTCAATGGAATTATGAACCTGCAAAATACATCATTTCATACTTATTTGCATAGGTAAATGAACAAAGCAAAAAGAAATCAACAGTGAAAGTATTCAGTGTGATGGTGAGTGAGATGGAAGGAAGGAAAATTGTCTTCAATCACTTTGCTTCAGTAATATTTATGTGCTCTTAGCTGCATTCCTAACAATTCTTAAGAGAGAGATTTGGGATCCTGGAGAGGGAGATAGTTCAGCATTTCCCAGAATGATCTCCATTTAAGTTGCCTTAAGTAAGCTAGAGTGGTTTTCTTCTGGGAATACAGCCAGTGTACATAGAGAGAATCTGCAGCAAAGGTGCTGCAAGATACTGCAAAGCAAGAAGGTCTGAACAGTCTGTAAATACATGTCCCATCAGTCCCCAGTTTCAAAGTGAAACATTATGCACAGAATTATCTGGGAGTAATAATCCGTAAAAAATCTATATGTGGTTTTTATTTTGTGAAGTCAGACAATAAAAGATCCCACGCTACAAAACCTCAGTGTCATGCACAGAATTATCTGGGAGTAATAATCTGTAAAAAATCTATATGTCTTTTATTTTGTGAAGTCAGACAATAAAAGATCCCACGCTACAAAACCTCAGTGTTTTCTGTCACTTTTTGAGTATCTTGGCAAACGTTGGGAGTATGTGAGCCTGAGTGAGAGCTGTGCCCCACTGGAGCTGAAATGCCTTCTCCTACAAGAGTTAATCCCAGGCAGACCCATTGTGCAGGATCACACAGGGTTACCTTCCCCCTTGGGGTTTTTACAGACACACAGCACTGCCCAGTGTTCACAATGGGGCTTCTCTGGGCTCTGTAACAGTACAAAAGTTACCTTCTAACCACAAACACAAAATCCTATAATTAAACCTTTGTTACCCACAGCAAAGGGCTCATCATGTATACAAAGCAAAGATTTTGGCAAGTTTATTGTGCTCCTTGAGACTAAGACAGAATTAATAGCATTGCAAAATTACAGCAAGCTGCTTGCTACACTGCTGCTGGATTTTTTCACTGGAACAAGATTTTATGTTCCTCTTCATCTTGAAAACAAATGCAACAGTTTTTATTGTCAAAGGCAGAACAGTGCCAAACACCATATCAAAGTAAAGACTGAGGGATATTTTGGCCTTAAAAAATTGCACTTCACTGTCCATTTAAAATAATTTAGCTGGTTTGGGGTTTTTTTTAACATAAAATTACTAATCATTAGGAGGTAGCTGCTTAGGGTAATCCAACTAGTAAACTGCATAAATCATCAAATTTAGGGCTTTTGTGCTGAAAGATGCCTGATAGATGAGTTCATTTGCATTATGTGAAGCCTTTCACTGCTGGGAAGGCACCTTGCTCATTAAACAGAAAGCCAAAGATGTCTCATGCAGCACTTCTGGAAGAGGAAACTTCTATTTGTCAAGTCCATTTTGTTGTTGTTCTTTGACTGTAATTCCAACTCTGTTACTTTATGTGCATGAGTCATGAACAAAAGGTGAATTTTTACATTTAATTTCCCTGTTAGATGCTATATTCCAACAATATATATTGCAACTGCCTGAGTAAAATGGATCAGCCTGAGTTAGTCATATTGCCTCTCAGATGGAAAAGTAAAGTATAATGATGTCCTCAGGAAAGCTGATCAGATCTGAAAGGCTTTTCTGGTGGCATCGAGTGTGAAACATAACTCACTGTTCATACAGAGGAAAGGATTATATTTTTATTTGCATCTTTCTATTTCCACAAATGAGCCATTTCACCAAAGAAAAATACATGAGTTCTAAAACTATTTTTTGCCCACCTGCTGCAGGACGCCTATAGCAAGTCCTACTTGCATGACCCTTTTTCTTAGAAATCTGGAGACAGAACAGCACTGTGAGAAAATAAAAATTCCCGTGGCTGTCATATCAGAGGTTCAAGTAGCCAAGTGGCTTCTCTTGCACAAAGGCCAAGGCCATTGCAGTGGTGGGAGACTATGAAGACAACTGATTGCAAAGGTTCTTGCAGTTTTAATTGTTTTAAACTGGGAGGGAATTGTATAAAGACAGAATGTACTTTTAACTACATTTCCTGAAAACCTATTCATGGGGCAGCAACAATTAGAGAGTACAAATTTGATCTTTTTTTTTTAACATCTTATATTCCTTAAATGGAGAAACTGGGATTTCTTTCAGGATTGCTACAAAAGGTAATGGTATATCTTAACATTACACTTTTTGCTAATTAGTTATTTATTTCAGAATGGGTGTTTTGAAAAGAGGGGGAGTTAAGACAATTTTAATGTATCTCAAAAATGTGTCTATTTCTAGTGTAGGTCCTAGAATATTAATACCAAAACCAAAAAAATATCACTTGAGATTAAGGACTGTGCATGCTTGCTCATGGGGGAGAAGTGGGAAAATTTTTTGCACAACCAACCTTCGGGCAAGTGAGCCCAAGGCTGCATGTCCTGTAATTAAGTTACCATTTCTGGTGTGGATGTGTTTGACAGAGAGCTGCCTGCCCTTGTGATTTCAGCAGGTGTCTCACACTGCCTTTTGCCACCTGCAGGAAAGAGAAAGAAATCCCTGGGACAGCTGGCAGAACCCTGTTTGGGTTGGTGCTACTGCCAGCCCTGTGATGGGCTGCAGCAGGTCTGGGCCCATCCAGGACCCAGCAGCCATGCAGGCTGAGCCCGACAGCAGTGCAGGCTCACTGGCTCTCCTAAGGCTCTGCAAACACAAAACTAGCTTTTCCTCCTCCTGTTTTTACCAATGAAAGACAGCCTGACTGAAAACCTTTAACAGCACCTTGGATATTCACTCAAATCTCTGTTTCTTTATTCATTACTAAATGCAGTTGTCATTACCAAGAGTGCTCAGGTTTTCCTTCCTGCCTATGGAGAGAAGACGAGATTTCAAAACTGCAAACACAGGTGCTAGAAAATCCTATGTTTCCTAAAGTCTCCCCACATTTTTCCAAAGAGAATGTAATGTGATAATAAAAACAAAACTGCTAATATAAACATAAATAAACCTAGGGATTGCAGTGCTAAGGTCGGACTTCACCCATGCATACAGAAAATTAAATACTTGTCTTAGCAGTGGGGCATCACAGGGTTTGTTCTTTGCTACTGTAACTCATAAGGAAGTGTTAAAATATGTTCAGAGTAGTTTCAGTCAATCAGCAGTAAATGATTTATCTTGTCAATCTTGTTAAACAAGCGAAGGTGAAGAGCTGAGGAGACTTCATGAGTGGGAGTCACAAACTGGCGGGGGAGGCTCAGGCCAATGAGCACAAGGATGTTACATAAAGGCAGTCAAGTACAGACATGCTATCTGTATGTTGCTGGTTTTTAATGAGAGGAATTAAGATTATGTGGGGGGTGATATGTGAAGCTGGCACTGTGATGAAATTCAGAGTTTTCCCCAGCATTTCAGTTTGAACTTTAGCTCCAGGATTTTCAGTTCTTAATTTTTAATTAATTTCATATTGACCATTGTTACTAGTACCATCCTCCTGACTCGGCATGAGGTTTCACAGGAAGGAAAGCCAGTTGCAGCCAGATGAATCCAGGTAGGAAAGCAACTGTGAATTCATTGCTGAGCTTCCAACTGCAGTTCCATTCCCCTACTACTCGCCTGCTTGAAAGCACTGTGCAACCCAGGTTGCTCACAGAAAGAACTGAGGAATTTTTTTCATGGTCACACATGAATGTGCATATTTGTGCCTCCTGAAATGCAACCTAACCCCAGAAACTGTACCACTGGCTTAGCTAGGCAAACCTGCAGCTCAAGCAACACATTTGAATGGAGTACTCACTAGCAGCTATTCAGGAATACCTCCATGCCTAACAGCTTTGGTAGAAAGTGTGTCACATGATTCCAGTGAAACACATCAAGAGAATCAGGATGTAAGTGCACAATTTATAATTGCAAACAGAGAAAACCATAACAAATAGACTTTTCCAGCAACAACAGAAGTTCAGCAAAGTTTAGCAAAGATCCTGTTTGGATACAAACATCAGTAAAAGGAGAAAATGCAGAAAATACATAAGGCAAAAGTTTTATTTTCCAAAGTGTAAGTATGCCCTTAGCATAATTTAAGTAATCCATTGCCATTGCAATTCTGATTGCTACAAAATTGAAGGTAAACTTTTTGACTGCACCTATTGCACACTTTCTCCACAGCTGTATAATAAAACCCTTCTGTATCAAAAGATTCTTCACTGTGATTTGCTGGTCTGTAGGAGTTCAGTTAAGTATAGTTGACTTAATTATGAAAGATGCTCCTTGTTTGCCTCGTTCTATTTTATAATCTGCGGCATATCACTCCATGCTTGAGACTTCTTTTTGGCCAGCTCCATCCACGATGGCTGATTGGGAGCAGCATTACTGCCTTTCTTCAAGTGGCTTATTTCCTCCTTATCCACCAGTGCAGGTGATGGAGCTACTGGGAATAAAGCACATGGACATTTTACACTTACCTGCTGAGCAACTAAGCACTCTATTTTATTAAATATTTCCCATGCTTTGCCCTGTGGTAGAAAACCTTTACATTTCACATGGAAGCTGCTTGTGCCATAAGTTATTGAGAAAATTACCATTCTGTGCTCTAAATAATACAATGTTTTTCTCATCACTAATATATTTTGATTCCTAAATTTACCAAAACTCAACATGATGACCTGGATTCCTTGTTGTGCCCTAAGTTAACACCCAGGCCAGAGAAGAGAGAGTCTTTTCATTAGATAAGGTATTTGCGTGTGAATTCCTCCTTTACTCAGCCCCCGGCTCACAGGAATTTTATTACTTCAAAACTTCTGCCCTGCTTTCAAATTTGAATTTACCAAACAGATTTACAACAAACTCATTGTGGGAGGACTGATGGTCAGACAGTCTGTGATTGCACCATTCCTCAGCTTGCTGAGGAAGTCACATTTAAATTGAATGCTATTGTAAATATTTTTGTTCACATTTTACACCGGGGTAGTGCATTTGGGCCTCTGTCCTGGGAAAGGGCCTGGAGTTCTTGATTCACATTTCTTGCAACACAAGTTTTTGGCTACCCTTTTTACTCTTTTGTTTGTAATCAAACTAGTCAAAAGAATATAAATAAATAAAACTTCAAATAAAATAATAAATAAATAAAACACCAAATAAAACCCCAGGCATGAGTGCTGAGAAGACTCTTTGCCCTGGCTGATGTGGGGCTGGGGAAGAGATTAGGATCTAGCTCCTACTCCTTTTGCATCACACTCAAGCAGGATTTCTTCTGACAAGGTTGAGGTAACAGCCCACATTTCAAGAATTTTGTTTCTTACCAGGGACACAATGTGACAATGAATTGGTTCTCAGCAGGGGCTTTGCTTCAGACTTTGTGTCTTTCCTCTGCTCTTCAGAAGTGGTTTTAGGTGCCAAGTGTGAAGGTTTACTCCATTGTTGTTTCACTGGCCCCTAGGCACAGAGAGGGATAAAATCCAAGTAATTCAGGGAGAATGAGTTCAGTTTGGAAGAACATGAGCAAAGTAGTGGATGGGGAGCCTGCCACAGTTCAGCAGACATTGGTCCCAGTCCTCCCCCTTGAGCTGACACCTGTTCAGAAAGTTACAGTGTTTTCATGTAACATCCATGACACTCAATTTTACTAATGGAAACTATCCCTCAGTATCTCTTTTTCATAATGGTATGAGTAGATAATTACAGTCTTCACTGCAAAATATATTCCAAATCCTTTGCACATCTCTACAAGCACACTCAGGATTTGGAAACAGCCTCATTCTCTCATATTCTTCTTTCATCTCCCAAATTTTGAGGGCTAGGGCACTGTATTTTTGGACAGTTGGTGGCAAATGGATTTTACATAAAAAAGAAGTCAAACATATCCTCCAACAGATTTTCTTGCCAGTATCAAAAACTACCCTGAAGTGATAGTGCCTGGTGCCATGTGGGAGAAGTGGGAGTAGTACAGTGGCACCAAGCCTCACATGCTGCAGTCAGAAGCATCTTGGCATGTTTCTCTGCTAGCTGCTACAGGGAAATAAAATGCATGGCATGAATTTCAGGGATCTTTGCCAGCTAAAATCTGGAGTTTCCTGTTCTGACATAGAAACTGTATTTTGGGATTGTGTTGGGCATTACTGCAGTTCAGAAGTTGGCCTGGGCCTCTTATTAGGTATTATTTCTTGTTAATCTAGCCACTGCTGTTTTTTATCATCTAGAAACCACCTGTTATTCCAGGATACAATACAGCTGTCTGGGGTGCTAGCAGTGCCACCTGAAACAAGAAAGTAGGTCATTTGCACTGGGAATGCCATACTGGTATAGGACACACATGCTCCTGCATCAGAGCAGCGTTCTTATTTGTGCAGGATGCAAAACAGGCAGCAGGTTAGTGTTCTGGATCCATGCCAAGCACTTCCACTGGCACAGCTGTGTCATCTGGCAAGATCATTAGCTACAGGAATCACCTTGTTTTTGTATGGGATCTCTGAAGAGGCAGTGTCAGCCCATATTCCATGCCACCACATGGGCTTCTGAATTATCCATGTACAGAGAACCAGAATTTATATGTTGGAGCTCTCTGCAAATGCAAAAGTTATTTTTATCCTATTTCACTTCTGAGGGCTCTAAAAATTGTTACCTAGGAGCTTCTGGGACCAAGCTGCTCATTCAGTGTTAACTCAGTCAGGAGGTATAAGAGGTTCAATGAAAGGCTGTGCTTAGAAGGATAGTTAAAAGAGAACATATTTCCTCTGCATTGAGGAGGATCAAAGGCTACAATTTAGCACTTCCTTTTGGATATTTCAGCATGCAATACACGTGTTAGATCTGGTAGGTATGCCAAGAAATTTTACACACTTCACATAGTTCCAGGATTTTGATTTCTTGGAGACACAAAATTACATATCTAAATAATCAGAGAGCTTTGAATCTGTAACACATTTATGACAGCAGTGTCTTTTTTAGTTACAGTTACACTCATTGAGTATCTGTAATCATTATGGCATGACTGGTAACATAGCAGTAGATCCAAAAAATACTACAGGAGGTGATACAAAAGCATCACAAATTTGTACTGCAAGTACCTCTGTTTGTTCCTTTGCTTTATTCTGTTTCTCTGTATTTGACTTATTATCTGGAGCCACAGACTTTTCTCTGTCGAGTTCCTTCTCCTGATGCATGCCCCTCTGCTTTTGCCTTGCAATGGAAATCCAGGCTGGCTCTGTAGGAGTGTCAGGATCTCTTCCAGAGTCTCCGGCAGCCATGGGGGAAGGCATGCTTTTCTCTGTTGACAGATTATTTATGTACATGGTTAGAGGAAAAAGAGTTGTATTCAGCTTCAGCTCATACTTTCCCAATGTACTGATCAGTCCCAGGATATGAGACCAGCCTGGATAAATAGGAATTCTGTTTAGTTTGGTCTCCAGTGAGCAATTTTCCCATGCTCACATGTTTAAGCTATCATTCTACTGGTGAAGAAGCACTTTGCATCTTTGTTCAGCTGGAGTCACAGTGTCACTGCCCTCACATGAGGGAGATGCAGAAACATGAATACAACTCCTCTAATCTACCCATTTCCCAAGGTCTGCCCCTTCTGCTTCTTCTTCCACAGTGTCTTAGAGACAAGCAGCAGAAATTCAAAGGTGGACACAGAGGAACTGTGGTGTTGCAAAGGCAAACTTCTCCCCACTGTGCTGCCCTCAGCTCCCACTCTTCTGATGTCCATGCAGCAGCAGCCCATGCCTGAGTCTGCTTCCTGCCTTCCTTCCACCCCTTTAGGAGCAGCTTCCCCACATGCAGCAGTAGCCCATGCCTTCATTGTTTCCTTCCACCCCTTTAGAAGCAGCCCCCTCCCCAGCGTTTAGGAGCAGCTTCCCCACATGCAGCAGCAGCCCATGCCTTCATTGTTTCCTGCTTTTCTTCCACCCCTTTAGAAGCAGCCCCCTCCCCAGCTCTGTGGAGCCTGCAGGTGCCATGGGTGCCTGTGCACAGCAGTCTCTGGTGACTGAGCAAGCAGAAGTACTGCTAAAATCACAGAGTGACTTCCTGGTCTTTTGATGGGAGGTTTATGTTGACTTATCCCTGCTGATGCTGACCACAGTCTTCACTGGGCCAGTAACTTCCATTGTGCTCTACCAGAAATGAGACTTGAGTGACACAAAAAGAAAAAAGACAATTTCTGGAGAAGAAAATCCAAACTACTACCCTGCTGACCTCACAACTGCTACCAAAGGATGTGCAGAATCCAGGGTTATGGGAAAGAGAAATACCCTGGATTCAAATATTCTGAGAAGGCAAATCCTGTCTATTCACTGAACAGAACTTGGTCAAGAGAAGAGCCTCAGCAGCTCCATTGGTTCCATCCCCCTGGTTCTCCATTTTTTGACTCACACTGAACACAAAATTGAGTTTCCCAATGAATGGTAGAGCTTCTGTGTGGCTTAAATGAGGAACAAGAATAGCAACCTCAGACCCAAGAAGGTTGATTTCACCTTTCCCAGCCATTTCTGGTCACTGATGTATCAAAATTTACAGAAGGCTCTTGTAGAGCAGAAGTTAAGCTTCTGATCCTCAAATCACATGTGGTCCCGCTCTTTGGAAAAGTTTATTACTTAGTCAGCATCCTGTTCAGGGACTTGGGAGAAGGCAGACCCAGCCAGAAAGGATTACTGCCCTAGGGTCCCTTGGGGGCTCAGCTGCTCTGCTGACAGTAGAACCAGCCATGGGACCCTGTGGAGCTGTCAGACACATTTCTGGAGCACTGTGGTCTAGTTTAGTGGAAAGTGGCCCTGATCAGGAAAGCAGGGAAATGTCTCTGAAGGCACATTTGAGATGCCTCATGAAGGCATGGAAGATAAAAGGGATGATGCACTCCCAAGAGCTGGAGTCTGCCAACACAGGCATATTATGAAAGCCCACAAACTTGCTTTGCTCAGGGATTTTCTCAAGTAATTTTTATACCTCACCAGAGAGAGAGTAGTTATTTGAACAAGAAAACATTGTAAAGCCTATGTCAGCTAAAAAAATGAAAAAGAGAAAAAGACCCATGCTTTAATGCCAAAGCAAGATGTTTTGCCAGCTGATGCCTGCATTTCCCTTCACATTCACCTCATGCAATCTTGCAGAAAAACCTCTGGAAGAAACAACTCAGGAGTCCAGCTGTGCAAATGCAGCACAGATAAAACAGGGTCCCTGAACATTGAAGGATCTTCTCTCCCTCTTGCACAGAATGTTACTCCAATTCAATGCATCCCACCTAACCCCTATCTTCACATGACAACAGCTGTTTCTCCCAAAATCTTTTTCTAATCACTGTTGGTTTGTTTTGTTTTTTTTCCAAACAGCCTTTCACTGGCTCTCCTTGCTTCATTTATATCTTCCTTTACAGGATGCTAAAGAACAAGGCTAGGAGAAATCTCAATGTATCATGCAGTCTACCCTTCAACTGCAAGGCAAGATCAGCTGAAAAATCAGTTTCATAGAAACTGTTTCCTCACAAATATGTATCTAACTCTCTAGAAACAGGACAGGTTTCAAAGTCTCCCTAAGCAACCTATCCTATGGCACAGCTCTTTTTTCCACCTTCTTTTTTTTTTTTTTTTTAACTGCTGGGTAAGTCAAGTCTTCCTTGCTCTAATTTAAATCTGTAACTACTTCTCCTACACACTATGGACACGAGCAGATTACTCATAGTCTCCTTGCAACAGCCTGTTATGCATTTGAAGACTTAGACCACATTTCCCCTACCTTTTTAACTTTTCTGATTAATCTAATTCTCTAGATCACTCTTTCTTTTGTAGGAATTGTCCTAGTTTGGTGAAATCTCCTTCAAATATGATGGTCAGAACTGCACTTGAGATGAAACAGTGTTAGCATCAGCTGTATGGAAGGACTACACCACTTCTGGAATGGTTTTCTGTACATGTGAATCAGTGCCCCTTAACTTCCACAGCTCTCCAAGATAACCACTAGCACATCAAAGTCTGCTAGCCATCTTCTCTCAGTATCTCAGGACAAACCTCACTGGAATCTTAAGTAAAGCCACACAGTTGAAAGGATGTGAAGTCTGCTAATGCATCTGCCATCACATTCCCTCCTTTGCTTGCAGCCATGCCTTTAAGCCCATCTGCAGCCATCTGCACCTTTTCAGAAGGTGGTGGGCAATTTGGGCAGGACTTACTAGTGCATTGCCCAGTAAAAGCAGGTGCTGTGCTTTATCAGCTCCCAAAGTGCTCCAGCGGCACGTGGATGAGCCACCACTGAAGGTGATGTCCCGTGTTCCTCAGAGCTGAGGAGCAGCTCTCTGGCTGTACAGCTGCAGACACACCACCACGTGCATCCTTTTCCACCACCTCTTTACCTTCCTTCACCGTCTGTAATGTCTTGGTGCTCAAAAGCTCCCATGTCTATATCCTGAAGGTCCTTTTCAATCCACCCACACTTTGTGATAATACTGGGACTTCTGCCTTGATGCTGCTAGTGATGTACATCTTAGCTGCTGTGACTCCAAATCCCCCTTTGTGTTTTGTCCCATTTTCCCCATCACACCACAGGAGCTTTATGTAAACATCAAGGTTGTTCCTTCTCTGCTTCCACCACAAAATCCACACTGACAAAATGAATACTATGCCCAGGCTCTATTTACTGCATGACATGTAATGGTCTTATTGCTACCTGTGCTTTCATTTCTCTGTCATCCTCATGAACTTAGGATTCACCCTGCTGTTATTTCACTGTGCATTGCCTGGGATAACAGGGTTCCCAGTCCTGCAGTGATATGTCTGGAGGCTGCTATTATAACAATGTTTTTCAAAAGGCAGATGCTCTAATGAAGGCATCAAGCACCCTTACTCTTCAGGCAGTTCTCCCTGATGAGATGCCAGACATCCTAGTCATGCCAATTAGAAGGCAGCCAAATTAGAGCCAGGTATCATTCCATAAGAGATGGTATCCAAATGTCCCTTTGATAGTAGGGAAAAAAAGCTCTTCATCATAATCTTGAAGATTATATATATATATATATATATATATATATATGTACAGGCCAACTTAGGACAGCAGAGTAGTATCACCTACAGAGGATCAAGAACTGATCTGCTGCTGGGAGAGGCTTTCTTGTGTCTTTAAGCAATTACATTCTGCCCTTGTTCCTCTGAGAGTCTTTGCTGCAGAAAGCCAGCCAGACAGGCAGACAAGGCAGGGGAATGCCTTATCTTCAGAAAAAAACCCATCAGATGCAACCCACGCAGAATTTCCTACCTCATCCATCAGCCAGAATTACTGTAAGAGGTAGAAGAGGCATATTCACTATTTATTATCTATCCCATTGCCCAGAGGTCATTTACATCCTCCCACTTCCAATTAGATAAGGTTTCTTGGCAGTATATATGCACCATTGTTCCAGCCAGAAGGATGAAAGGTGGTGAAGTAATCCAGGAGATAGTATGGTAAAGAGCTGGCAGTTTAAGGTGACCTGAGACTGTCCTATGAAGCTCTTGGTACCCTAAGGGACACAAAGAAGCCAAAAGCTTTCTCAGGAAGTGACTGTTCTCAAGGGAAGTGCTGCTCACACATCTTTCTGGGTTCATGACTGTACGGTCACCTTGAACAAGCTCTGTCTTATGTAGTCATGAGATAGTCCATGTGCTTTTATGGTTCACCACAGCATTTAAGGAACTGGATAGCCAGAGTGGAACCAAAAGTACTCAAAAGGACGATTTTAATTCCTGCTTCTGCTGCATGTCACATGCACAATAACTGACACAGAAACTCCCAGCTGGTAAATGCCACTCTTAGGGAGATTAACAAAGAAATACAAAATGCAAACAGTGGTATACTCCATCTGAAGCTGAGTCAGTTTTGACAGATCACAGCCTCCACAAATGCCCTGTGTTTCATTTCTCCTTTGTTGAAGCAGGGCTGAGCCTCTTCTTCTGCACTTGAGAGATTTTCAGAACAAAACTAAAATCTAAATAATATTCTTCATTTCATATTACAACATGTTATTTTAAACAATGTGCTATTCAACTCATTCCTTAATAACTTCATAAGCTAATAAAGGATATTGCTGGCAGCAATTTGTCTCTCATTCATTCACAGCTTTAACCTCGTGATTGCATCTTTCCCTGGTTTCCTTGGAGCTGGCTTGGCCTCAGGCTTTTTTGAAAGAGAGGAGCCCCTTCTTCCCCTTGGGATAAGCCACCAACAATGGAAAGATACCAGGTCGGAACTTGTCAAGCCAGTCTGTGCATAATGTCACCATGTATTAAAGCCAGCAATTCATGTAAGCTGAGATCTTCTGCTGCCTCTTGAAACCACACCCAGAGGCTGCTGAAGCCTTCCCTTCATGTCCTCCCCACAGCCAACAAACACACACGGGACAGTCACAAGGTCAGCTGTTCTTGCTGCATTCTTCACCTCTTCTGCAGCTTCCAGACCAACCACTGAGGATAGCTCTGAATCCAAGTGAACCATAGCCACCTTCTCAATTCCCTCCTGCAGATCAGAAACCCCTTAACCCCCCTCCCTGAAAGCATCAGGGCTGGCTGCCTCAGTGGTCCTCTAGAGGGGGGAATCTCCCCTGCTGCAACCCCATTTGATACAGGTATCTGTTTCTCTTAGTATCTTATTAAAACAACTTCCTTTTTTCCCTCAGACTAAAGCTCTGATCTCATAGATGCAATTTCTTCTGCCTAAATATTGTGGAAATAAATGCGTACATTTCTCACTGATATTTGGATATTACCCTGTAATGTGTGTCAGACTGGTTGCATGAAAAATAAGATGAAGATAATACATTAATCTTAATGTACAAAAGGAACTAGTCAGACTGGTGGCATGAACAATAAGATGAAGATAATACATTAATCTTAATGTACAAAAGGAACTATGATTGACTTGTTATTGTGCATGGGTTTACACACACACGCAGGAAGTGAAAGAAAAATACATACTTCTGTCTACTGACAGACAGATATACTTCATGTATTCAAATGTATCTCCTTGTGTGTGCTGCTTATATGGATAAACACAGCAAAGACATATTTAACCATTACCCTGAGATTTAGGGATTAACTTTGTCTTTTTTAGAGATGGCCTCAGATTTCTTTAAATCTGAGACCTGCTTTCTTTACATCTAAAAAGCCTCTGTGCACACAAATTGTAGCAGAGGTTCTTTATGACATATAATTCTTGTACTTGGAAAAGAACATCTTATGCTTGCAAGGACTGCAGAGAGTGGTCATTCTTGCCCTACATGTGTGCAGGTGAAAGGTCAGAGCCAGAATTTAGAGTCTTTTGAAAGTCAAACCACTAACAGCAAGCAAAGCTAGCTTGTGGATTCCCTGAGTGTTTTAAAAGCAAACATACTCAAAACTAATCTAAACAACTTTACACAGGGAGATAACACCCTCTGTATGTAAGTGTCATTGTTTTATAACACTGCTTATGCATGCATATTTAATTCCACACTGTTATATCTTTGCTCATTTATAAAACTCCAGTTATTTTAAGAAGGGCTTTACAAATGCATATAGCATTTAGAATATCCTGGCCTACATACTTCCCTTTGTTTATTAAAGTACTACATGCATTCATGTCAGTATACACACCCAATTCCTTAGTTTCAGACAAAGCAATTCTAAAGATTTTGTTAAGTATTTCTGACACTTCTTTCTTCCCTAAGCTGCTCTGAGAGGTATTTGACTTTTGATTGGATCTGTACCACCGATGCCAGAAGAGTCTTTTTTACACAAGAAACTGCTGTTTGCATCAAAGTCTATTTCACTGCTGGAAAACAGCCATGTTACAAAATAGCCTGACACAATTGAGAAAGCAACATCTTTTTGGGAAAAAAAAAAGACAGCTTGTTTTTCAGTTGTAGCCTGGACAGCATTAAAGCAATGTCTTTTTGATGTAGAGAAAAACACTTCTCTTGTCATTCCAGAATCTGTATTTGCCAGACAATGCACACCAATTTCATTCACCATAATATCCATCGTTCTTCCCTGAGCTCTTTTGCTCTTTTCAGAGGATGTCTGCCTACTACAGCTCCTCAGTCACTGATTTTTGTTTATCTTAATATGCAGATTCAGACAAGTACTGCTTATGGTTTCGCTGTTGTAATAACCTGTTAACATATGGTAATTGCTTCTGCCCTTTACAGGATTTATAGCAAAGTGTATCAACTCCAAACAACACAGCTTAACCTTTTAAATCTTGCAAGGACTTGTGCCTTTAGCTCCAGAAACTTCAAAATTACTCCTCCTGGGGTGACTAATTTCACACAGACATTAAAGGGCTTCCTTGCAGCCTGAGAGAGGTAAAGCAATCCCTTATTAGTTCCCCAGAAAGCTCTGGGGAGCAGGAGTGCTGCTCTCACCTGGTGTGGTAAGCCAGCATCCCATCAGCTCTCCTGTTCCTTTGGTACCAAAAGAGCTGAAAAGCTAAAATGTGAACTGAATGAACCACATTGGTCTTGCTGACCTCAATGACACAGCACACTGACTTTTTTGAAATGAGTGTGCGTGAGAAGGGAACTGCATCTCCTTGTATCACCATTTCGCAGCTTGTCTTCTTGTTCAGCACACAGATTTCCTAACATGCAGTGGAAACTCCCTGACAGCATAAATAAACAGCATCAGCTCTTTGAAAAGGCTGATGAACTCAAGGGCTAGGAGAGGGCAGGGTGGGTGTAAAGTGAAAAAAAGAAGTGAGTGTCCAAGCAGATCCGGAGGCCAGAGATGCCTGATAAAACACATGTGATCCATGAGGGGCTGTGTTGATTGTGTTTGTCAGATTTCTCCTGTTTGCAGTTGCAAAGACATGGTCCTGACTCACTGAGCTTAGGGAAACTTTTCAAAGAGCTTAAAATTATGTTTGGGCAGGGCTATTGCCCTGCCAAGTCCTCATTGCATCCCATGACTCTCCTATGCCTCACAGAGGGACATAATTTTGGGGGTCACTGTGCAACTTTTCCCAAATAACTTTTCCCTGGTGTGGTTCCAGGGCACTCAGAGGAGGTGGGCACACCTCATTCACCCATGACTTCAGGTGGCCAGGTCAGGCTGATGTGGCAACTTAGCACAGGGAGGTGATTGGTCAGGTGTCTAAAGAAGGCAGTAAATAAGGAAGAAAACAACCTCAGACCATACAGATTTGGTGTAATACTCTCAGGGGGAGAGGAACACAGCAGGACTTCTTAACCCTGTTTCAAATTCCAGGTGCATGCATCTCTATCAGGGGGACCAAGGTGCAACTCTCACCCACAGATCCTATTTTGCAGAGGGCAGTCCTGCATCTCAGGGCAGAGTCTCCTTCATCCCAGGGCTGAGGAGCCACAGGAGAAGCCTGGAGGAGAAATGTGCTCCCTGGCTTCATTTCTTCCCCTTCTTCCCTCTCCAACACTGATTGTCTTTCACTGCAGGAAGACATTCCAGTCCATCTGCAGGCACTCTGGGACTCAGCAAGAGGGATGTGATAAAAGGCTGTGAGAGGGAGCACTGGTACTCCCACTGCTCTCCTCCATTCCCTGCCAGAGCAATCCTGCTTTGCTAGGTCTTCTTCTCTCTTGTTCCAGTATGACCCTCCCCAAAATCTCAGTCCATCAGAGATGTAGGCATCACTACAAATAATCAGCTACTCAGGGCAGCACAGAGGGGAAAATGCCTTTAAAGGGAGTGTTGGGACTATCTACACATATCTGTATATATCTCCTGCCTTGCCTGCAGGGTGTGGGGAGGCTCTGGCTGGATGGCTGTGGGGACTTCATCCAGCTCTGGATCTTAATGAATTCCCTCCTTTATGATGGCTGGGAGATCAGGAAACTGTGAACATGGCCAAAGTCCTGCAAAAATGCTTCAGCAGAAGACAACTGAAATCAGATGTCACTCAGGGCATCAGTAAGTTGCCTCTGGGGCCAGGAAGAGACTTTTGTCACCCTAGAGGACAAGCGGCATCCTGTGCCCTGAGATCTTCTTCTGTTCTGGTGTTTCCCTACTCCAAGCTCAGAGACAGATCCCAATCAGAGAAGAGCAACCAGATGGGAGGAAGCTCTGCAATGGCACAGAGACAGCCTATTATTTACTTGGCCAACATCTTCTCATATTCATAACATCAAACCCATGTCCATACAGATCCAGGACAGGGAAGACTTTTCTTCCACTTCTTTTCTGTTCTCTGCCTGTAGTCCACAGTGTATAATTAGTCTCCAGAGAGCTGATTTTTTTTTTTTTCATCTCTAACCCAATTATATAATACAGACAACAGGGCAAAATATAACAATCTGCAGTAGACACGATCTTATGGTCTCTCCTGGCTTTGAACTCCAGGAAGCTGCAGGGTGGTTAATTTTTGTTTTAAACAAGGAATGAGTAATGATAAAGATAGATAAATTAATAAGAAAAACTCACAGGAGGCAATAAATAAGTGGTGTGTTTACCATGGCAGGCAGTGGCAGGGCCTCATTGCATTTCTGCCTCAATGCTATGGTGAAAAAGAAGGTCTAGAGGTCTGAGTCACTTGTCCCACACAGGGCACTACACTTAATATGGACTCTTGGATTTTGATTTGCCATGCAGCAGCTCTAAATGGGGACACTGAGTGGCTTGCTATTTCTGTTTTCCAATACATGCTAGTGTACTTTATTTTCTGAGTGTTACTTCGAACAGCCTTTAAACAATACCCTGAAATTCAAAAATCAGAAGTAAAAATATCTTATTCTGTCTGCTGTTTCTTCCCTGCTTCTTTTTGATAATCTTTTCAGCAAGGGGAAATGGGGAGCAACCTCACTGAAGGCAGAGCCATCAGCTTATGCTCTACCAGGCAGACACAACAGTGCTGCCTCATACTCTCTCACAGGTAAGATCACTCTTTGCAAGTGAAGCTAACTTCATAAAGTTTTGTGAGTCTTACCAGGCACTTTACAAGCAGTTGACTGTTTCTCCAAGTCTCTGTCTTCATTTCTGGATTCAGGAGAGTGAATAGCTTTGTCCTGCTTCTCCTTGCTCGCAGTAGTGTTTGGAATGGTTATGCTTTGCAACACTGGCTTTTTAGGCAATGGAGGTTTGCAACTAAGCTGTTCAGAGGACTTTGCTTTGGGTTTGATCTTCTCATTTAAAGAATCACCAGTACTTGTATTGGCTGTTTTTCTGATCTCTGCCTTACCACCTCTTAGAAAGGAAGTCAATCCCTCATTTTCTAAATTAAATTCTGCACTGTATCTTTTAATCCCTTTTGATTCTGGTGGTGAGTTGTCTTCATATTTCAAGGACAGTGAGGTGGATCTAAGTTTCACTTGAAAAGGACTTTTATCTTTACAGCTTGGCTGATTCTGAGATACCACTGAAGAATTGCTTGGCATTGGTACTGCATCAACAGCTGGGGAAACATAACCAGCCAAACTTTCTGTAGGTTGGCCTGTGTTCTCAGAGTAGGACTCTGGCAGCAAAGTCTCCTTTTTGCTGCTACTTTTTTCCTCATCCAGATCTGATTCCTTCTGGAAGTCGTCTTGCCACTTGTCATTTCTTGAGGAGACCTTTGCTTTGGACAGGAAGAATCCAGTATTTAATGGGCTTTCCAACTCTGATCTTTCTGGGAAATACAGGCTTCTGGTGCTGGGTCTCTCTCTTGCAGAGGAAACCGAAAACTTTTTAAAGGCATTGAGTTCATTGACTGCTTTTTCAGCTTTCTTCCCCAGCTGTTCCTCCTTGTGGACCAGTGACTGACTGTTCTCCTTACTAGAAGCAGTTGCCTCCTGTGCAGTCTTTATTTTCTCTGGAGAGCAGAAAGTAGATGATCCCATCTGCATTGAGGAAGCAGGATGTGAAACATGGAATGAGTCTGTGGGCTGGGAAGGACCCTTGCAAAACTCCTTGCTGGACTCTGACAATAGAGTAAGCTCTTTGTCTGCCCCTTTATTACAGGGCATTTCCACAGACACCTGATCATTCTTCTGGTTATTTTCTTCTGACCTTCCCAAGCAAACAATACTATTCTCACTAATTGAAATATTTTCTTCGGAAGGTAATTTATTTAATGGAAACACAGTAGGAAGCTCCTTATTTTCTTGATTTACAGTATTGATTGACTCATCCCCAGACAACAGAACCAGTGTTTCTGAGGAATCTTCTTGCTTTTGTACTCCTCTGTCTGAACTGAAATAGGAAGAAGTTGTGGAGTCTTTGCCTTCTGACAGCAATGAGGACTCAGACTCCTCACACGTAATTTCCAGTGCTGCTTGGCAGTCCTCTGGCTTATTCTCTGGTAGCAGGGTTTCCTGTCCATCAGCAGGCTCGGAAGCAGGCTGAGTCATCACTGGTCTCAGAGCAGGGGGGAGGTCCTCAGGCATTCTGGGCTTTGGCCAGGAAGCCACATCCTGTGTTGCAGCTGTGCTGCATGGCAGTTCTTGATTGCTGGGTTTGAATACAGCATCATCCTCTTCTTCTTCCTCTGGGGTACAGCTCAAATCAGTCAGAGATTCAGACTGGGTCCTCTGTAAAAAAGAAATCCAGAAAGCCCCATCACCATGTACAGCTTCACTTTTTTCTTATTCATCATTACATTTACAGCTGAGATCTCAATACTTGCCTCCAGTGCTGAGCTTGCAGTTTTCTTAACCTACAGACTGGATGCTTTTTTAATTAAGCAGATCCTGAAATAATGCATTTAACCAATATAAAAGCAATGTGTGGCATTTCCTTCTGCACAACTAGTGCTTTCATGCCCTTGTAGTTGGGAAGTCCATCAGAACAATGGCCATTGGACTGTCCTTGGCAATTGATTCTCCAGAGCATACTGCCTATGTTGTGCTGCTCTCGGGCAAAAAGCAACACTTGAAAGAGAAAAATCTGTCTCTGTATTTAGCTACTCCATGCTAGAATTAAAAATAAAACAACCCATTCTTCCTTAAGCATGACTCTGAAGAGGAAAGGGTACATGGAAGCAAGAGCAAAAGCCTAACAAATCCATCCTGTTACGACACTCCATTCCAGCTGAGTATCTGCCCCATGTGGCAGTCTTGTTTCTAATCCCACTGTCATACAGCATTACAGCCTTGCTTCCTTTGTGTAAAAGTTTTCTTTTTCTTTCAAGAGTTAAACTATTTGATACAACTTTATAAATTCGTATGTAGTTTAAAAGTTAACAAATTCATATGTAGTTATCTGTGAGGTCTTGTGATTAAACTTGATGTGAGGACTGGCTAACTACACAGAATTATTTGATAGCACAGTAGTGAGCTGCTGAATATGCCTTTTCATATGGTGCCTGTATTAGCTCACTGTTTCACCATAGTTTGTTGGGTAAATATATACTTTGGATGTAGGCCCTAACTCTAAGAACACAGAAACTGCACTTTAAAGATATTTTAGGGTGCTTACGACTTCTTGTTTTGCAAATGAGATCACAAAAAATCCCCAGTTGCAACGCTAGCTGCATTCCCAATCCATATACACAAGAACATAAAAGCACAAGATATCAGTTAGCCAGAAGCAAGATGCACAGGCAGAGTTGGGCAAGAAAATATTAAAAATTGTTTTATCAAAACATGTGAACACTCTGTGGGAATCCAGAAGGGCTCAGTCAGCTGGCAGTTATAGGCAGTCTGGACAAAGCAATCGTACTTTAGTAACAATGTTAGAATGGAAAAGAAGGATTGATCGCTGAATTATTGCTTTATGTGTTTTTCTGAATAACTGGCCTCATCACTGTGCTGCTCACAGCAGTGCTCTACAGAGCTGAAAGGTCATTCCTAGATTTTGAGAAATACAGAATATCAGCTAGTAATATTTAGAGACAAAGCGAATAATATTTCTGGTAGTGAGCAAGGCAAATTAATGATTTTACTGTATTTAAAACATTGGAAAAAACCCACAAACAATAAAGTGTAAATACTGTAGTAAAAGGTGAAAGCTTTAGTCCTAAAAGGAAGAATAACTAAGCTATGCCCTTCACAAAATATGACAAGGGATCAGATAAATTGTGTTTAGGATGGCTTAGAAAAAAAGATTTTTTAAAAAATACTATACACTTTTTAATAGCCTTTTAAAAGTAGTATGCACTTTAATTTATCATATCTGAGTTTGAAGTAAAAAGTCCAGTAAGAACTTTCTAGGTTTGTGTCAAAAGTGACACTATTTATTTTTGCATGTACCTGAGAAAATTTTCTCATTCTATTGGCTCTCTGGTTCCGGGGTTTTACTAAAAGCTTGTGCTTAGCAGCAGAATTATCCAAGAAAGCAGAAAGCTCAGGTGGAGTGTCAAAATTGGCTGTAGGGGAGATGGTACTGTCAGATGTCCGGGGAGACTCAGCATTGCTACTTCCATGCCTAATAAACAGCTGACCATCTGTAGAGCGAGATCTAGAAGAAGAACCCAATGTAATCTGAAAAAAAATTAAAAACAAACCCCCAAATGGTGGATCAAACAAAGAAACAAAGACAAAAAAATAACTATTCTACAAATAAGTAGCCAGATTTGTTACCATTTTATGTTTGCATCTTTTTCTTTTTGACATTTCTTTAAAATACATTGCATTTCCTAATGTTGCATATGATGTATTGGTGTTAGTAATTCTGCATTTTTAGCTGCTTGAATATTATGATATACTGCCCAGTGGGAAGGAGCAAATCCCATCTAACTGGAAGATCTAATGTACACAAATATATGGCCAGCATGTTTTATAAGACAAATTTATGAAGAGTGCTCAGTTACAGAACCTAAAGGGCCATTTTCGTTTCTGGGTCTGTCCTCCAGCATCTTTGTCTAGGTCCCTATCCACAGTTGTTTTGTGCTGAGCATCTTTAGCTTCCTATATGTCAACAGGCCTCTTCCAACTCTACAAGACTCTCCCAAAGACAAAAGAATTAAGAGTTAGTGTCATTGACACTTAAGTCAGCTTGTGTTTTTACCTCATGTATTTATATCTGCATTTACTGGAAATGTAAAGTTTTGTTAGTAGACTATTCTGGGAAAAGAAGTGATGGATAATTCCTACCAGAGGCCAATAAGCCATCCAGAAACAGCTCCTGAATGCTGCAAGTGGTGTCATACTTTCATGAAGCTGGAGTTCCGTTTGCCTGAATTTTGGTGAGCTTCACCAAAAACTACCCTAGTTCCAGGGATGATGCAACAAGAACACTGGAAAATTTAATAAAAATAAACTCAAAAAGGGTTCCTCGTCCTCTCAGATTCAGTTCTGCAAATAGGCAAAATGGTATTTCCAAACTATCTGTCACAGCATTAACATCACCTCTGGCAACTCATTACAGTGCTCCCTTTGTAGGCTTGAAATTCTGGTTCACTTCTTTGGAGGCGATTTCCTGCTTTCTTCTGTGGGCATTCTTCTTTCTTCTTTCTTTTTTTCTGGAAGTGGTATTTTACTAAGGAAGTTGGATGGCAGAAGGGCAGGGCAGGTTGGTGTTCATTTTATTTTGGAAGGCAGAAAGCATCAAGCAATATCTGCAAGTAGAATTTTGCAATAGGCACTGCAGCCCAAAGATACTCTGTAGTGTAGTGAGGGCCTGCTACAGCTTGCTGAATGGCCAGGGGAAAACTCCCATTGATTTTAGCAGAGGCTGGATCCACACCTTCTAATCATACTTTCTACTTAAGAAAAAGAAAGTAGCTCAGACATGCTGAATAATGGATAATGGATGCTCTCATTAATTTTAACTCTACAATATCTGCAGTCTAGTAGTCAAACATGACTAATGTACAACAAACGATATAGGTGGCTGCATTATACATTAGTACCTAACAGTGAATACATTGACATTTCAGCTCCATGATAAAAACACAGCACATGTTCTCTTTCAAAGCACGTCATTATTTGCCTGCCTTTCTTCTGGCTCCTGCTTTTCCTCGAGAGCTTTGTATGTCTTCTCCTTGGCAGTGCTCAGTGTTGGCCATTACACCGGAAAATCCAAAATCTGGTTTCTTAGTTAAATTTCAGCAGCCTTAGTGAATGCCAGCTCTGAGCTGGCTGCAGAAGTTGTTTGTCCCACGAAGTCTGACTTTGACAAAGCCTGCTGGAGAAGGAAAGAGCTGGCAGTCCCCTTTCTCCAAATCTCATGTGCACACGGCTCAGTCATCCTTCAGCTGGTCGTGCTGGGTGGGCAAGGTGGGGGGCCAGGAGGAAAACCCATCCCCAAAACCCAGACAGGAGAGTTGTGATTCCTTCCTTCAATCCAGAAAAGCTGCCAAGACACAGCAAGGTGTCACTGCTGCCCAAAACCTCAGGACTGGCTTGTGCAAAATTCCTCAGCCCTGTCAACTGGTCTCCTCTGACTTCTAGAAGCAGGGCTAATTTCTCCGAAATGCCAGGTAAGCAGATCCTGTGGTTTGGAAGGAAAGCCTTTAGATGGAGCTGCATTCTGGCTGCACTCTCAAACTGGAATGGGTTGAAGAGAAGTCTGAGCTAAATGATAGGGCATGTGGAAAAAGCTAAACATCTGTATAGTCACTGCCACGAGTCAGGAGTCAGCAAGTGAGTCAGAAAGTAATGTTAATGGAACAACAGGGAGACATAAATCCTCTTTTAGCAAACATGCATCTGGACTGGGCACAATTACAGTGAGCCCATTACAGCTTTCAAGAAATACTTCCTTCATGAGTTCTGTTGTTTTTAGTTTAAGAATAATAATATTGTGCTTCACAGAAGCAGTTTTTTGAAACAGCTTCATGTGGAATCTAAGAAGTATGGCCAGAAGTCTTTGCTGAGCCCTGCTGCAGCTGGTCCTGAAATTTTGCATAATTACCAAGAAATGGTCAGCTCAGGACTAGTTTCTCTATTTCATTTCTGCAATTTCCTTCCACCCCTCCTCCTATTCCTAGAAAATGCTCTTCCCTTTACCCCGTGTTGATTCCACCACAACTCCAGCTGCGGACAGCTAAAAGGGACTCTTCAGAGCTTTCCAAAACAGCCCTTTAATCAGCCAGAAGGGCTGGTTTCTGATTGAAGAAAGCATCCATGCGCCTATACTTGAGCTCTGAAAAACATCACTTCAGCAAAATTCACAGCCAGAATTCGACTGAAGGCTGAACTCAGACTCCTGAGCTGCAATGTCAGCCACTATCATCAGGCAAACACTTTCTGTGTCAGTGTGAGGTAACTTCATACTTAAAGCAGAGGCTGGGCAGATTTCAGAGGATCTAGAGTTGTTCCCATCTCTTCAGTAAGCTTTCTCCCTTATCCTATGCCTGTAACTCAAGCAGCCTTTACTGCAATTTCCCATCTTTGAAAAATGGATACTGCTTCACTATTTAAATCTGGTTGGTTTTGCTTGGAGATTAAATCATGTCTATAAAGTTTGCTAAAGGATATGAGATTTTCTAGAGACATTATTTATTATCAATGGGATAATAATGGGATGACTTTTCATCAGAATTATGTTGATAAATAATCATAGTATTTTATGTTAGACAGACATTAAAACAGCAAACAGACAGGCAGACAATTACATGCATACAAAGTTGGTTTTTTTCAGCAGACAAGGGCAACAAAATAATTTTTTTTAAATATTTATTTTAAAAACTACTCTGTGCAATTACTTGTCCCTTAATACATTTGGCAGAAGTTACCTGTTCTTCTTCTTCACTGCCTGTTCCAGCTAAACTCAAAGAGCTAAGGTGCTTGTGAGAGTCAGAGAACTGTGGGATGGAATGAAGAAGAGATTCAGTAAAAGATGACAAACAAGGTGGATATAATCGCAGAAATCATCTACACAAAGTGCACAAAGGTACTGACAATGTAAGTTGTTGTTCTCTACAGTCTTAAGGATTAGCAAGGACACTACGAACATAAAGTGTAAGACATGCAGATAAAGAATGAAATAATGTCTAACAAAACTATAATTTTAAAAATATCAGATTATTTCATGTTTCTTTGTCCAATGGCAACCCGTAAGAACATTAGAGAGTTCTCTTATCAACACACTCAAGGGGGAATACAGATTTTTCAGCCTTATTTTTTTTTATGTCTGGCAGATCTTTGTAGTCTCTATAAAAACCACAGCATTCCCATGCATGCACTCAATCACATACTCTTCTTCCTAGCTCTGCATTTTCTGGTGTGATATTTATGTTTTAACAAGAACACAGATTTTAAGTAGCTCTTTACAGAGAGTGAGTGTTTTCCCAATTTGAGTGAGGTATTTCTGAATTGCCCAGAGGTAAAATAGGGATACGTAAAACAAAATACTTTATTCTACCACCCACATATAGGTAAAACAAGTCATTAAACACCCATTTTTGTCAACACTGGAACTACTCACTCTTGTTCTCATGCCTGAGCTTAGGCTTTCATGCAGCAAAGACATTTCTGGAGGGCTCCTGGGTAATCCATCATCTTCAGAACTGGTCCCAGCATCCTCTGTTCGCTTTGCATGAAGTCCAAATGGAGGTGGAGGTCCCAATTTCATGGTAGGCTGGAGTTTCAGCTTCAGTGTGGCATAAAATACATTAGCTTATGATAGTGATGGAGGTTTCCCCAGAACATTTGATAGCTGAGGTCAATGAGTTACCATTATTTTAACTTCACAGCTGAATGATCCAGGGCACAGGACATCTGACTTCACACATTCTCTTAGGGAGCCAAATAAACTACCCATTTTTCAGCTATCATTTATGTAGAACCAAGATGAGATACTGCTGTCTAATTAACAAATGCAACATTTGATGTAAACTGCAGACAGATATTACTTACTAATCAAACACTCAACTACAAATACTATCTAAAAAAATCAAGCCTGGAAAGACATTCCATCTCTTGCATTTGAAAAAAAATTATATTGTTTAAATTACCTGTAAAGCTCTAATCCGATCAGAAATGTTTTCTTGAGAAAACACTCTTACTGGCCTTGCAGGCTCTTGCCCAGTCTCAAGGATGAAAATGCTATCATGTGACAAAGCTCTGCTTCCCATAATGCCTTTATGTGTCCTAGAATAAAATAACAAATGAGTGAAAATATGCAAACTTTTTTGCCATTTCTCTTAAGGGGTCTGTTGAATGTGGAATGGGACAGAGGGATGCACAGCATACATCACAAACAAGATTCCAGACTTCCCCATTAATACAGCCATTCAGGGTAATCTAAGTAACACCTTTAAAAACAAACAAAAAAAAATTGTAAATGCTGTTATCTGTCACGTTAACAAACTGAATCAAGGTTAAAGAGAGTTTAACCCCAGAAGATGAGTTATGTCATATGGAAAAAGCTCCTTGGGTGGAAGCCAGCAGCTGGGTGGTGTCACAGGGCCGCTGGCAAGCCCAGGTGCAAAATGGAGTTCACATGAATGAATCTGTCCTAACACTTCTTGCTAATGTAAGACCATGTCTTGCAAATGAGTGACCATTACCATAGGAAGAATAAGTACCTTTTACTATCTAAATGTGGTACAGCATTTAATATATCTCTGCCATACAGATCATTAGCAAAGACATTTCAGGCAATGTAGTCCTTACATGGAATCCTCTGCATAAATCCTTAAAAGGTGCTGTGCTCTATGTCAAAGTGCCTCAGATTTTCTCTCTCCCTTCTCTGTGTGGGACACATTTTTTTTGTTGACAGTCTTTGTGGCTTAGTTGGGGGAAGTAGGAGATGCTTTGTGGGCAGTTTCTCTCATATTCTGTTTCCTACTTCTGATGCCTGTGTTATGTAACTTCTTTTGCAAATGGTGCATGTGGGGTATGAGCACCATGCTTACTTATGGCAATGGTAGAGGAGGCCCACAGACAGACATCTACCTGCTAGGAGGTTTCTTGTGGTCATTTTCCTCACCTTAGCTCGTACCCTGACTGAGAAAGAAAAGAAATGTGTGCATGCAGCATTTTTTAAGAGTACCTTTTTCAAATTTTTTAGATCAGGGAGCTATGAAATGATAAATGAGTGCAGAATAATTGTTTGGGTTTATGTAACCATCAAGTGAATTGAGCAGAAAAGAATAAAGAACTGTATTTCTGGATCCTAGATGCTGTCATAGGGACACTGAAGACAAACATAAACAATCATGGCTGACAGTAACATTTTCCCCATAGTGGCTGCTATAAATATGTTTGATAAAACAATAGCAGGAAAGAGTTGATCTACATTCTTGCTGCAGAAGGAAGGAAAGCCTGCTACGTCTGCTTAATGCATTAGAGACATTAGAAGAACAATTTATCTGAGTGCAAATGTGATCTCTGCAATGCATCCAAGGTCAGACAGACCTATAGCAATTTGCAGAGTAGGTGCCAGTCAGGGCTGCAGTGGTGCCCCATGCGCCAGCACTCAACAAGGGCGGCAGCCACACAGGCAGTGTCACTGCATGGGCACATTTATCCCAGCATTCCACCCTCATTTCCTCTTTCTAGCACACGCATCCCTCCCAGACATATAATGGATGTACCCTGCATGTCTCCGCAGATTAAGAATGTTCAAATTAATTTCCTTCCTTTCAAATAATTTCCTGGTCTTTGTCTGTCTAAATAAATATTAAGAAACAATAATGTAACAATGCTTCAGGTTACAGCACAGGAATATGGCCAGAACAGCCAGAGATGACACCCACTCAGACATGACCTTGTTAAGGCACATGTGGGAGAAAGAAAATCTCACCATCCATGTCTAACAAGACATAATAAGTTGTCAAACAACAGCACTTCACACCACCTGGTGCTGCCAGCCCAGAACTCTGAGGGCTTCAAGATGGACTAACTAACATTACTATTGCCAATGCCATGACAGCAAAAAGAAAAAAACAAAACCAAACTACCAAAGGAAAAAAAAAAAAAAAAAAAAAAAAAAAAAAAAAAAGTTGTTAATAATTTCTTTTGGTTGTTTGGCGCTGCCTGGTGGCCACATCGAATAATGTCGTTTTAAATGGCCGGGATGGTTTCCTTTCCCGTTCCTGGGCACAGCAGCACACCTTGCTTGAGGACCAGGAGGCTTGTTCTGAGAGGCACAACATCCACCAATGCAAAGACTTGCTCTTTAGTTATCAAAGGGGCTCTTCAGTCCACCTCTCTGTCCAGAGACATATCTAATTGTTTGGACCGGGTTTCTCATGGTTATTTTTCATAGTGGGTAATATGAAGACAGGGTTTTCAGAGGCAAAGAGGTACACAGGATGGGACTCATCTGGTCTAACTTCAGACATCAAATTTCAGCTATTTACATTGGAGGTGGCTATCCCAGGCTGCTGTTTGCATTCACTGGGGAGAGATAGGCACTCCCAGAGCCTATTTCAAACATAAGGATGATACCATCTTTGTTAGTAATGCTGACTTCTCTCTGATTATAAAAGGCAGCTGGTAATTAACTATCCCCGTCCATG